AAAAAAAGGTGATATTATGAAGTTCACCGTAGTTGTTTAAAAACCATTCACAAAATACAGCCCGTCGCGGAAAATCAACTTCATGAAGTTCTTGCTGACAAGTTAAACGATAGGAGAACAAACGCAAATCTTTTTTTAACACTGTGTGGCAGGTACCGACTGATACTCCCACCATTTGTGATAAAACACGTACAGAAGTTCTTGGCGCATTTTCCATTATTTGTTGGACATTTTCTTTTAATTCTTCAGTCCGCTTTTTAGGTCGGCCGCTTCCTTCTTTTCTTGTTACACTGCCCGTTTCACGAAAAACATTAACACAACGCTGAACTGCACTTTGAAAAATTTTGTACTCAATAACGCCGGGAAATTGATTTTGAAATTCTATGAAACATTCCTCAATAGAATACTTCCATATTCCATCAGTCTTGCGTCCATTTCTAAAGTAGGACTCTATGATAAACACTTTTTGTTCATGAGAAAACACCATTTTAAACGCTTTTTAAAACGAAAATATTCAAATTGATAGCGACGATATAGCGCTTTGACAGATGACGTCTAAGTTCATTTGCTATAAGCTATTCCCTATGTCCAATGTGTCAGAGCCAACTTCGACCACGTTTTTATTTGAACGCTCGTTATTTACTAGAAAGGTGGAAGTCGGCATTTGCCGACTTGACCTTTCACTCGTGCCTGCCGCACACGAGCCACACGCAGCGCAGTGTACTTTCCGCAGGCCGGTAAATATATATTTTAAACATCCTGCATGTAAAAGTTTGATGTTTTCCAAAATAGAAAGTCTCTGCAGGTGTAAACGCAAAATTTAATATGTTCAAATCAAATTTTATCGCTCTGAAAAACCATAGCTGGTGTCTAATAGTAAAATAACGACCCACCGCAATCCAAACGACCTGAAAAATGCCTTCAAATGCAAAATTCTATCTGACGATTGCCTGACATTCGGTCAGTTTTCGAATTTTTGAAGATGGGAGTTCTCGTCGAGTTTCATCTTAGCAAAATTTGCCATTTTTGGTAGAGGATCCGCAGAAAACGAATCTTTACCTAGGAAAATGCGGAAAAGCGTCTTCGAAAGTATCTACGTCGTAAATTGGCATGGCTCGCAGAAAAAGCCTTTAATTGCAAAATGCTTCTTTTTTGAGTCCAGTGTGGGAGAGAGAGTAACCCGCAGCTTTTAATATACCGGTCTGGCCATATTTTTATTTCCAATACAAAGTTAGTAAATTATATAAATATTTCACCAGTCTCCCCTAATAATTCTGACTCCGCCCTCATATCATTTGTATAACTTTATGCCATCGATATAAGGAAATAAAAAAACGCCATAAGAAGTGCGGTTCTAAGCTCTTCTTGACTATTGGTTTATTGCCTCTGTCTTGCATTAGGAATTTGGGAACAATGTACGTCGAAGATACGTACATATGGAAGATATAATACTGGACAATAATTACGTTTTTGATTCATTGCGATGGCATAAAGAGTATAAGCCACAGCCTGGAATTGACAGCAGTGTTGACATACGTACAGTAATTACACCATTTGTATGATATTTTTTTACAAGAATTGTAAGAGGTTTTGAGACTATACTAAAGCATTCCAACTTTATTACAAATTATTTTTAACCTTTCATAAAAACTACAACGGTATTCTAAATTAAAATGAGTGGTAATTCTTAAGCAAAATAATGAATTATTTTCAAATGTTTATTAAATAAAGCTTATTATTAATTAATAAGGTGTTCAAACAAACCACCTGCTTGAGCTTCATAATACCCTAATCTGTCGTATAATTCTTGACAAACATTTGACAAAATTTCAGGAGTAACTGATCTTGAGCCGTAATTCGTCCAAATTTGTGGCTCTTTCGTGTCGATGTTTGTAGAGAAGTTGCGTTAAATGACCTCATAAAAAGAAGTCGCAGGGTGTCAGATCTGGAGATCGAGGAGGCCAAGGTATGATACCTCTTGTGGAAATAAGCCTTTCAGGAAAAGTTTGTTCCAAATAATCTTGAACTGGAGGATTATGATGGCCAATTAAGGAAAAAGATGATTCGTCTGTAAATAAAATCTGCCTAGCGAATTCGTTATTTTCATCTATTTTTTCCCTAATGGATTCACAAAACTCCATATGCCTTATTTGATCACCAGGAATAACTTCTTGAAAAGTTTGCATTTTATAGGCTTTGTAACCATTATTTTTTAAAATGCGACGAACTGTACAAAAGCACCTCTTTTTCTCTCCTTGCTTCAGGAATTTGACTAGATTCCTGATTGCTATATTTCGTACACCGATTAACACATCCATACTCCTCAAACTTATGAAAAATATTCAAAACAGTTCTAGCAGTGGGGACTGGTTCGTCGGGGTATGAAAATATAAATGGACCAACGACTTCCTCCGCACTTTCTGCACGACAATACCATTTAATAACATTAATTTTTTGTTCAACACTGTACACATAATTAATTTTTATTTTGTAATATTGCGTCTACTTCTTACCAAAGGTTTGAATGGAATAATAATAAAAATAAACAAATAGCAAAGCGCTTTAGGTATTCGGTCGGTTCACAAATATTGCAACGGGGCACGTGCTCTCCCAAAGCCAACCAATTACGAGAGTCCGAGTCGCAGCCTGATGATGATATATGTCATGTCCGACCTTTTCCACCCAAAGTTGATAGGAGAGGTGCGTGTAATTTACTTAGTCTATGCGAAAGAATTACCTGACCAGACCGGTATAAGAACATGTCTTTAGATCTGTCTTTACAATACTAAATGTGTTCTTTTGTTTCCAATAAATATTTTTAAAATCATAAACAATATGTGTGTAGATATATACAATATTTGAAATTCATTTTGTTTATGAGTAATTCGCTTATTCAAGTGAATGCTATTTGATAACCACCGAGAACTAACGGTATGTATTCACATTCTTCCGATTCATTGGATACAAATCAGTAGTTGATTTAAATTCAATCAAATATTTCCCATACTTGAGAACTCAACATCTCGCATGATACTTTCTGAATTCTAGATCCCTATTTAACTTAATCAATTTAAAAACTTTACCAAAAGTCACTAAATAAATGTTAGAAACACGGGGATTTTCACCCCCGATTAAAACACAATTTCAACATTCGGTTTATTCCCGCAAACGACAGAGTTGTCTCTTGTTTATTTGCTATGTTAGGACTCTCGTGACTCACTGGCTGACCCCGTGGACCGCGCTCCATTGGCTGACCTCGACTGCTCGCGCATTCCGAAAGGGGTTCTGGCTGACTCAGTAATAGCGACTTAGTGGATGACATCCTTCTTTAATAATTAGCATTTAACACGGCCATCCTGCATATGGGGCGTCCTCGCACCAGGAAAATTTCTGTAAATAATTTCCAATTTTTACAAGAGCTTTACATGTTTCTATTAAGGTTGTATGATGAACTCTGCCAAAGGCCTTAGAAAAGTTTGTTTTTAGTACAGTGTAACTGTAAAATTATTGTACATTAGTGAATTTTATCATTTAGAATTCATTGTTTTCTAGCAACACGAATTAGAAAATAAACAAGCTTTACAACATTCAAAGTTAGAAGATATAAAAGTTGTTAGAACACCGTCAATGAGACGAACCTTCAGAAAAAGTGCTTTAAATGAAGGAACGAAAGAAACTGACTCATCTAGCAATGACTCCTTACCTGACTTGCAAGATCAATCTTTTGGGAGTTCCACTTCCTTAAATAACGATAATAATTCAAATAAATCTAGAAGGTCCTCACGTAAAAATGACCAAACCAAAGAAGAAAAAGAATCATTTGCGAGAGAACCGCTGGAAAAAACAGACATAAAACCCATTTTTATCCCACAAAGCAGACCACCTTTAAGAAGTTATGTGGATGAGAGCAAAAAACTATCCGATTGTCTTTCTAGATCAGCATCTCGAGGCGAACCAAACGATGCACATTATTTAAAATCAAATGCAGAAGATAAAGAAGACGAAGATGCATTGAACCAGTCTACATTAAGCAACGGAATCAACGTTTCGAGGAGAGCTTCGTCAAGAAGAAGCGCTGGAAATTATTGCAAGTCTTGCGACATATCACCCATTAAAGCTCCAACACCACGGCGTTCTTCATTAAGTGAGAGTTTCATAAGCATTTTTAACAAATCACCTTTGAGCAAAAATGATTCGGATTTATTGACAGACGATCAGTCTGGAAAAGACACACCGAAATCTAAAAAAAGTCTTTCGATTGACGAATCTCAGTCTGAAGAAGATATAAGCGATGTGGAATATTTAAGCAATTCCACAAACTCTAAACGTTCGTTGAGAAATAGCACTTCATTTAGTAAATCCTATAGTGGTTCAGTGGTGATGGTCGATGATGACTCTATAAAAAGTACTCCAGAGAACAATACATCTATCATAATTCTCGATACTCCATTGGTAAAGCCTTGCGGAAACACCCATAAGAAGCTGTCAAAGACTTTAAATTCTAGTATTGAAGATTGTGTTGAATTATCCACTCCTAAATCGGTGATAAAAAGTCGCAGGTCGAAATCACTACCTTATAAACCAATCGTTGAGGAAATTACACCGGTCACACCACAGGAGATCGGTAGCAGAACCGAAAGTGGTTTTAAGACTCCTTTGAATACCCCAGGCTTGTTCGAGAACATTAAAAATTCTGTGATAATGTCGAGAAGCAGGCGGAGGCCAAGTAGTCATTTCATGGAGGAATTGAACAAAGCTGAAGGGAACAAGACTAGCAAGAGGCCCAGGGAATCGACTGAGGGCATCGATAGATCAGCTAAGAAAAGGAAAATGTTAATCGACGACTCTTTGAATTTAACAATGGATGAGGTAAGTACGAGTTAAAATTATTTAATTTTTTTTTGAATTGTGAATTTTAAATTTTTCAAGCTTTAATGACTACATTTGCAAATAAAAATAAAACAAAAGATTTGGTGGTGTACTGTGTAAATTTATTTTAGGATAAAAAAATATATACTTATATACAGAGTGTATCTAAATAATACCGAAAAAATTTAAGATGAAAGGATAGGGGTCTTTGATATAAAATTTTTTGAGAAAACCCCTGAAAAATTACGCTCCACCAAAAATTAAAAAAAAAATTGTTTTTCTTTTTTATCTTCCATGTATATTAAGCTAATAACCCTGTCAAAGTAGCTCAAAAAATAGGGGTAAGCTTACAATAATTCGCATAAAGCTGAAAATTAGTACAAATGTTGGGAACACCCAGTGCTGGATTTACACTAGGGGCTATGCCCAGGGCGGCAAATTCCCGTGGACGGCAAAATTCGGGGCTTCAAATAAAAAATTTTTTTGCACTGTCAAAAATGCTTCAAAAAGTGTGCATTTGCAAATAAAAATAAATACAATAAATTTATATATTTATCTAAAAATAAAAATATATCATAAAAATTATATACAGGCTGTTACAAATTTGCTTCTCACTACAGGGATCTCGGAAATGGTAAGAGATACAAAGTAACTTGTATGTCGGCAAAGTTGCATAATCAGGGAACCAACATTATGCCTCTAAAAAATCAAAGCTAACACGATTAGTTTTCGAAATATTGAAAAAAAATGAAATCTTGGAAATCCGTTTTTGTTTAATTTCAACCTTGTTTGAGGAGATATTGAAAAAAGAAGAACACTTTCTCATGACAACTTTTTGCCCTCTATCGAATGGCATAATCAATTTTTATATGTAACATTTCATCTCTCCAGGACTTCAACTTCATTTTTTTAAATATGACCCTAGCAATTTTATTTTTTACTTTTGCAAGCCTTCATGACCTCCAATACTGTACTGCCTCAGCCCGAACCAGATTTAGACATTCTGTTTCGAAAAATTAATCTTCAGTGTATTCGTTCCAAATTTATCTAAATTTTTTATTTAGATTTCTTTGTTTATTGAATTATCGTACACTGTAAGTGTCGTTAGACCCTGTAAAATCCATCTAGTTATTTAAATTAGTACCAAATCTCGATTTCACTAGGAATTCGAATGTAGTTGCAGAAGAAAAAAAAAAAATTTCCCAAACTTTTTGTCAACAATATTCACAAACGGGTCAACTGATTTTGATGGGATTTACAGCATTCGGCTTAGTTTTTTTAGCTTTAGCTTCCTATAATCTCAAAACGTCGAGATTTGTGGTTTTGTGGTTTTTATAGCGGAAAGTCAAAAAGTATTCTGAACCCTCATCCATTTCGTGTAGAATAAGGGTAATGGGGCGGCATTTTTTACGGTGTCCAGGGCGGCACTAAGGAAAAATCCAGCCCTAGCAATTCCATTATAAATGAAATGTGAAAAGTCCCCATCGATCCCACATCTGAAAAAAGAATTATTCAAGGTCAAATTTTGCAAATATGGATTTTTTGCATTTTTGAGCCAAACGGTAATTTTTATCATAAAAATAGTTCAGACAAAAATTGTAGATCATGCAATTATATATAAAAATTGTTCATACACTTTTTTCCCAAAGAATCGCCATTTCTAAGATACATTGATTCAATAAGTTGAAACAGTTGTGTTCTCCATAATATGCACACATTTCCACGCCACCTATGAGATAGTATACTTGGTGCATTTTTTTTAACGTGGTTTTCCCAGTAGACCTATGCCATGATCTATTGTGGTCCTCTATAATTAAATAAAAAATGGTATTATTGGAAATGATGAAAGCGGTATGAATTATGAGTAATTGGGGAAAACTATTTGTCTGATTGATAATTATCTAATGGAACTTCAAGTGTAATGTCTTCTTCTTCACTTCCTTCTTCTTCCTGCCGGATACAAGTAAATTATTCTAAAAGCGATGCATCAGATGTCACCTCGCTGATATCGTAAGAATCCTCCCACAGGTGGCTTGGAAACATGTGCATATTATGGAGAACACAACTTTTTCAACTTTTTGAATCGCTATATCTCAGAAAAGGTGATCCTTAGGAAAAAAGTGTAAGAACAAATAATGTTTATAGATAATTGCATGATCTACAATTTTTGTCTGACCTATTTTTATGATAAAACGTACCGTTTCGATGGGGACTTTTCACATTTCATTTATAATTGTGTTCCCAACATTCGCACCAATTTTCAGCTTTATGCGAATTATTGTGACCTTGAATGTCTATTTTGACCGGGCTATAAAGAAACCAAACTTGGTGAATATTATCTCAAAAAAACTGCACTTTTTGAAATTTTTTCAACCCAAGTATTTTTGTAAGGGGTTGAAATAATCAACCTCGATGACGTTTTTTCTTATAACTTTTTTCGATATAATTTTTTCCTTTTAAAAATATGTCTAAAAAGACCCATTTATTTACTATTTGATCTCTTCAAGTTTTTTCGAAAAGTTAAGGACTTATGAGAAAAAATAAATAAATGTATTGCAATGCATTTTAAAAAAAATTATAAAACAATGTCATAAAGGTTGATTATTTCAACCCGTTAAAAATGTTTTTTTAGCTTGATATACATGGAAGATAAAAAAGAAAAACAATTCTTTTTTTTATTTTTGGTGGGGCGTAACCTTCCAGGGGAAAACTTTTTCAAAAAATTTTATGCCAAAGACCCCTATTAAGTTTCATCAGAGAATCGCCCCTTACATTTTTCAATGTTATTTAGATACACCCTGTATATGTTTTTAAAAAGTAAAAAAATATTGTAGTATATTCACTCCATTCGTTGTTTTGCAAAGTTTGAGACGTCTGTAAAAATGTTAGTCTTTCCAAATATTTGCATGAATGATATCCAAAAAATTCAAAAACGTTAGAATCTTGAGAACTAAACTAACTTTAGGATACAAAGTTCACAGAAAGTTTTTTTCTTAAAATAATCTAAAGAATCACTCTTGTATAAGCCTCGTAGTTCATAAATAATCAATTCAAAGATATTCACTTTAAAAAAATTGAAAAAGTTCTTGATCCTCAACGAAATGTAAACAAGTTTCTCAATTAAGGAAAAATGTTACTCACAGAAGAAGAACCATAAATCCCTAATTAAACTTTCTGTCACGGAATAAATTTTTCCATTTCAGGATCTCGATGCATCATTTGATTCATTTGCAACAGACGAAATTTTTGCTACCGACACCACTGACCAATACATCGTACCAAATACACCACATGATTTTAGAAATCTCACCGATAAACCACTCATTACGGACCCACAAGCAAAAAGCCTGACAGAACCGAGAAAACGGAGATCAGCACCAAACAGACGTTCTTTGCACTCCATGAGGCTTGACAATCAATTTAATGAGAGCGAAGAGAAGAGCAAATCGAGATCATCCGATGATAATGAAGGAAGCGACAGTTTCATAGATTCTGGTGTAGGCTCAAGAAGGTCAAGACGATTGTCCTTGAAAGCTCAGAAAGAAGATCCACAAAATAAAGTAGAGAAAACTCCCATGAAGGACGTTGGCAAAAAGGAGTTAAGTATTCCCAAAGAAGCAAAATCCCCCAAAAATGATTTAACGGAGGTCCGTGGTGTCAGACGCCTTATTCAGACACCAAAACCTGCACCTTCCCCTAAGAATGATCTCTCAAATGTTGCTGGAGTTAAAAAGTTATTCTCTACACCAAATATTGTGAGGTCCCCTAAGAACGATTTGACTCAAATACCAAATTTGAGGAAATTTGTTTACCCCGTTCAACAAAATAGTCCCAGAAATGATTTATCAGATGTTGCCGGTATCAAAAAGCTACTGAATACTCCGAAAAAGGTCAAGTCACCTGAAAACGATTTACGAAATGTGCCTAATTTGAGAAAAATAATATCTCCCAAACAGCAAAACAGTCCAAGAAACGATCTAAGCGACGTAGCTGGTCTGAAAAAACTACTATCCACGCCAAAGAAACAAAAAGAACCTAGAAATGATCTCACAAATGTGGCGGGTGTTAAACGATTGATGTCCACCCCTAGAAAGCAAAATTCTCCCCTGAACGACTTGACAAAGGTGCCAAATCTTCGAAAAGTTATGTCTCCCAAGCAACAGAACAGTCCAAGGAACGATCTAAGCGATGTAGAAGGCGTCACAGACATTTTCAAAGAAACTGAATCACACGCTAGCGGAAGCGATATAGAAAATAACGAGGATCTGTTTGACAAGCTATTTGTCAAGAAACCTATAAGAACTTACAGGGGACAAAGTTTATCTCCCATCACCAGAAAGGCCATGCTATTCGCACGGGATCAGAGAAAGAGTTTGGGCAGTACACCGTTTTCAAGTCCTCGGCTAGAAAAATGGCTGGAAGACCAGGCGGTGTTTACACAGGAAAAGGTTGACAAAGTCGGAAAATCTAACACCGAACAATTAAACGAAGAAACTGACTCTCCTAAGGCAACGCCACAAGCGAGAAGAAGAAGAGCGGTAGTTGCGGGAAAAACAGAAAATCAAGTCGAAAAGAAACCTAGGGGAAGAGCAAAAGCCCTCCAAACCGAATCAGTGGAAAACCCGGCAGTAGAATCACCTAGAAGTTTGAGAAGCAGACAGAAAACTACAGTGGCTGCATCTCTGAAGGCAGACATCGTTGACAGTACTACTGCTGCCCCTAAATTTAAACCACCGGCAACAACGAAGCGCGGTAGAGTTAGAAAAGTGTCTCAGAGGGAGGACATAACACAGCAAGTTCCAGAGATTCATAGCACTACACAAGATGAGACTGACGAAGCTGAAGCCGCCGACACCGAAGTGACTACCGCAACAAAACGCAGGGGTAGGACAAGAACAGTTTCACGCGATAAGGCACTCGAACCGACAGTGCAGAAGACTAGCAGTAGAAGAAAGCCGCCGAAGAAAAATGGTGAAAGCTCCGTCACTGAAGCGGTTCCATTGCCTCAACGAAAAGGCAGACTAAGAGGTGTTCCGGTTGATGAAAGAGAAGTTTCCAAGAAAGATGAAGATAAAACTACCGACACAGAAACGACTCCGTTACCTAAACGAAAAGGTAGATCAAGAAATGTTTCAGTGGAAGGGAAAGTGGTTTCTAGCAGTGGAGGGGGAAAGGCGTCTAAGAAAGATGAAGATGAAAATGCTACTACCGCCGAAGCAACTCTATTACCTAGACTTAGAGGAAAGCGCAGAAGTTTTTCTGTCGATGAGACCATACTTTCTGGTAGTAGGAGAAGACTGCCAAGGAAATTTGGACATGAATCTGTAAGGATGAGATTTTAATATGTAATAGTTTTCAATATAATTTGTTTTCCATATTTTTAGGAAGATGAGAAGCAGAACGTGGAGCTTGAAACGGAGAACAAAAAAGAACCTAAAGGAAGAAATCGAAAAGTAAAACCCGTTACTGAAACAAACAAGAAACCCGCAAAGAAAGGAAGTAGAAAACAGGTAGTTATAGAGAGTTCCGAAGAAGATACAAAGGTAAAGATTCAGAGAGTTACGACGATACTATATAATGTAATTTTTTCATGTTTTTAGGAAGAGAATGATGATACCTTGGAAATGAATTCCAGCACGAACAAAAAGTCTAAATCGGAGGAAGTATCAGAACCGGTGAGAAGGCTACGAAGGAAGCAAATTGTAATTGAAGACGATGATGAATTGCCAGAGGTAACAATTTGAGAAACGATAGATAATTGACAATATAATTGTAACTGTTTGTTTCCAGGAGGAAAATAAGGAAAATTTGCAGCAAAGTGCTGGTAAGAGGAAAGAGACGAGGAGAAAAAATCAAAAGTTAGATCCCGTTATTGAATTAGTAGACATTGCACAGGTAATAATTTAAGAAATGATTATTTCATATATATTGCACCAAATTTCCTTTATTTAGCACAATTTTGGAATAATAGTGTGCATTTGTGCATAAAAAAAAGGTTCGAATAAAAGTTGTAAGATGTCAAGAAACCAATAATCTAGTGACCTTGAAATTGACCTTGACTGTTTCAAAATCATATCAAGGTCAACTTGAAAATATTAAGTGGAACACAATTTTTTTGTACAGCAGTCGATAGAGCGTCAAATTTTTTATCCAAAAATGGGATTAGAAAATTTTTGTGACGTGTCCTCGCAAGTCATTTGGAAGTTAAACGCGTTTTTCTCTAAGTAACTCGATGCAAATGAATTGTGGAGAAAAATTTATAGGAATTTTAATGACAAATTTGATGGTGGTTTTTTGTTTGACCTTGAAAAGCTGACCAGGGTCAAATGGAATACGCCATTTTTTATGCCAGCTACCGATACACTGCCAAATTTTTTGTTGGAGTCTGGGATCAAAGGTTTTTTCTAGGGTGTCCTTGGAAAATAATTTGAAGGTCAAACTAGTAAATGATATTTTTTCTCGATTGGGAAGTCGAAGAAAAGCCATTATAATTCAAAAGAAATAAACCAACAATGCAACAACTCGTCTAAATGGGAATATATGAGAATATTAAACAAAACAAAATTAACAAAGATCTCTGCTGCTGGTGCTTCCAAGCCTGGCACATTTAATTCGGACCCCAAATTGTGGGTATTTGTTGAGCACCCCAACTGTTATCTTTTCCTGCAGTTTCATCAAATTTCAGTCAAATTTGTTTTTTTATTTAATTCTGAAAATTTTGCACATTTTTTTTTTCACTGCTAATTTTGCAATGTAAAAAAATTTTTGCAAGCTTTTGCAAAAGCCTATCTTTGTAACAAATTTCCCTTGGAAGAAAATCGATAAGAAGACCTCATGTCGATTAGAGGCTTATTTTCGGAGATATAAGCGAAAAATTGAAAAATGAACAATATATTTTTTTTCTTTTGTTATAAACAATATGACAATCGACCTCTGCAAGTACAAAAATTTAGGCTTTTATTCTGTGTATTTTTTACTTAATTTTAAGCTCATAAAATTCGAGTTAGACCTGATTTTTGAAACAGTATAATTGAAATTTCCTGATTAAAACATTACAAAAAATTCAATCAATAGCTGAATACACACGCAATGACTTATTGGAGCGATAAATTGTACCAAATAATCGTCAGATAAATCGTTAAGAAAAATCTTTCAAACAAATCTTGGAGAGGACACTAATGCGAAGTTTTATTGAATCGAATTATTGTACAAAGTTTATTTGACTGTTTATCTCTAAATTTGGTAAGATTATTCTGTCATCGTTGATCTTTCGGAAGTCCAAAAAATCAGAGCAATTTATTTGTTACTCGTAAATATAGTTTGCTACTAAAACATGAAAAAAAAAACGACTTTAAAGGCGTTTTATTACTTGGAATGATGGATTATGCGATTATAAAATGACGCAGAAGAAATAACAGGCGAACAAAGTGGGTTAAAACGTGGTTATTGAGGAAACACGGGTGATTACGATATAAATTGATCAGTCCATTAATAAATTCTTTTGATGCCATATTTGAAATTGTAGTATGTTCTGAACTCAAGGCAGAAATTAACTGACTTTACATATCGCGCAGATATTTCCTCCAACATGTACTAACACGTAGATAATGCTCTACAAAATATCACCCAATAATTCAAGACAGATTTATCAGCCGTTTAATCACTGTGTTAGTGTACGTAACAAAATAATCGCTCCAAATTATTTGGCAGCAATTTAACCGCCAAAATATTGGTATTTTTCAATTTTTCTTGATGACTCATACTAGCAGTTTTGTATTTATAATTTACGCAATTCAACGATAAATTGGCCAAATTGGTCGATAAAACTGCTTGTGTATATTCAGCTAATTTGTTATTAAATCATGCGAATTTTGTTTGAAATACTTTTCTCCATAATTCGATCCAGTCGAGTTATTCAGGACACATTTAGATCCCATAAATGGGCTGTTGAATATGAAATATACAAATCAAATCATTTGAAATTGTAGAAATTTTGCTGGAAATGTTTTCCTTAACCCCAACTGTCCTGCAAAGACATACTGAAAAAAAATTCTGACCCCATATTTGGACCTAAAATTAGGCGCTTTATTGGTTGTAGTAAAATATTGGATATTTCATTTAATATTTTCAAGTTGGCCTGGGTTTGACTTTGAAATTTAATATCAAGGTAAAATCTAAGGTTACCATCGTATTGGTTTCTTGATATCCCATAACTGTTTTTGATAGGATTCAATCTTGAAAAGTTGGTTCGAATCTTTTTGGGACACCCTGTATGTTTTTCATTGTTTCTCAAAATTTCCATAAATTTCAAACAGGATATGTTTCCAAGAATATGAAAGAAAGAAATGGAACGTATTTGAGAAACATCATGAAACAAATAAGTAAATAAATGTATAAACAAAGAACACTAGGGTGACTTTCGCCACAATATTGACGAAATAATTTTCTTACAGAAAAATGTGGAAATTGGACGTGACAAGACAAGAAGTAAAAAACAACCAGCAAAGTCACAGGTAGACAAGACCAAAAAAGCCGTATCAGAAGGAACTCCTGAAATTTCTCCAAGAACTACTAGGCAGAGGAACGTTAATTTCAAGAAATATGGTAGTGACTTTACGGAACTGGATGGGGAGGAAACAGAGAGTTATTCATTTGAAGAAAACAAGACCGATGGGAAGAAAAAACGTAAAGTGAAATTTGTCGAACCTAATGAAAAACCGATTCGCAAGTCCAAGAGGACCAGGAAATGAGGGATTTATTGTACAGTTATTTTTTCCGTGTAAATATGTACATTGCGCATATTTTTATCTTTACTAAGTTATATTGTCTCTTTTATACTGTTGAAAACAAATTTTTATTGTTCTTTTCTACGAAGAATATGCAACACTAGGTGTTGTATATATTTGGTGTAGTTTTATTAAAACATTAAAATTTGTAAGTACAAATATTTAGAATATCGATAAACATTTATTTGCAAAAGTTTGTTTAGCTTATGTGGAAAGTTACTAAATTCAAAATACTGAATACAGATTGGAAGACGTTGACGATATTGTATTATACAGGGCGTTATTTAAGTATGTGGCCAAACTTCAAGGGGTGATTCTAGAGTGGTGGGTGAATGCTAGAGACACGAAACTTGGTATGAGCATCCTACTAATAAAGAGACAACTTTTCAATATTTTTTTGATCATTGGCGTATTTTATAAAGGAGTGAAACATTCAACCCCATTGGAATATTTTATTAGAAATTTTTTATATGAAGCAAATTATTTATTTAAAAATATTTATTGGGTAGACTGATTTATTGTGCAACTTTTTTACCTCTTTTAATTTTTCGATAAAGCCGATAGTTTTCTAGTAAAAAAATTATATGCGTCATCGTTCACTAAAGGGGTAATTGCGAGAATTTGTAAAAATAAAGTAGGGGGATGTCATAACAAATAAATTGTTATTTATCATATTAATAAATTGACACTTTCTGTCAATAAGCTGGTAATTTAATAATAACATTAAGAATAATTTGCTATTAATTAATGAAAAATGTTTGATAACTTATGACTATGGGTCATGTATTAGGTAAAGTTATTTATCTGAAATAAAATTTAATACAAACGAAAAACAAGAAATGCAAAATTAAATTTAAAGAATATTCTCGAAATAATTTCCATTTTGCTGCAAGCATAACCTAATACTTTTGTTGAAGTTATAACGCACTCGCACAAACAGTTCTTGGTTATTGCGAAGGTCATTTACTGCCTGAAATATTCTTAAGTGTAGTTCTTCTAAGGAGGCAACAGGAGTGGTATAAACAATACTTTTTATGTGAAAAAGATATCCATAGGCGTTAGGTCAGGTGAAAGTGCAGGCCAACAAACGGGGGCATCATGACCAATCCAGCGATTTGGATAATTTAAATTTAACCATTCTCTAACGGCAAGTGTACTATGTGCAGGCGCCCCATCGTGCATATACCACATGACCTGACATGAAGCGAAGGGTACATCCTCAGGTAATGTTGGAAGATTTTCGTTAAAAAAACTAAGATACTCGGCCGCTCCAAACCTGTGTGGAAGAATAAAAGGACCTACTAGAGTATTTCCTACAATTCGCATCCAAACGTTTAAACTGAAATTATGTTGAAATCCTGAAACAAATATTTCATGAGTATTTTCTTCCGACCACGAATGAACATTATAAAGGTTTACTGCACCTACTCTAGGAAATTTAAGTCATGCTTGGAAATATTAATATACCATTGACAAAAATCTACGCGGTTAGGTAAATCAGGATCATTCAATTCTTGCACGGGTTGATGGTGAAATGGGTATAAAAGATTTTAATGAGCTACATTCCACACAAGACTGTGAGAAACTTGTAGTTGCCTGGACACCTGACTTGTCCTTATACCACAGTCTTGTACTAGATGTTCCAGTATGGCTTCCTCAGTTTCAACAGTTCAAACATTACGACTTCTTCCGGCACCCTCACGATCGGGCTGAATTTTACCAGTTTCGCGAAGCCTTCTTTCCACCGAGGCCAATGTTTGTCTATGATGAATAAGTCGGTTTGGATATCTTTGGTGGTATAATCTTACTGCAGCGTTACTATTTTTTCTAGATTCGAAAAACACTTGGAGCATGTCGACATATTCGTCATAGGTATAAATATTATTTGCCATAATTATTCTGATAATAAATTAATCAATTGGTACCAATTATTGGTTGACAGAAAATGTCAATTTATTAATATGATAAATAACAATTTATTTGTTAAGACATCCACCTACTTTATTTTTACAAATTTTCGCAATTACCCCTTGACGCATCTAATTTTTTTACTAAAAACCTATTGGTTTTATCGAAAAATTACAAGAGGTAAAGAAAGTTGTGTAATAAATCAGTCTTCCCAATAAATATTTTTAAATAAATAATTTGCTTCATATAAAAAATTTCTAATAAAATATTGCAATGGGGTTGATTATTTCACTCCTTTATAAAATACGCCAATGATCGAAGAAATATTGAAAAGTTGTCTCTTTATTAGTAGGATGCTCATACCAAGTTTCGTGTCTAGCATTCCTCATGTTAAAGAAAAAAATTAAAATGTGAATTTCAATCTCCTCCTTTAAGAGAATATATCGCCTCAGGGGTGCAACTTTCATATAAGGTTTTTACTTCAATCCTCTTATTTTTGGCTCTACATTCACTGGTACCATTTCTGCTACTTCATTTAAAAATACCCTGTTTAAACGTGGGTCCGGTAATGCTTTTTTTTCTAGATACAGGGATCAAACTTTTTTAAAAAATTGTTTAGTTTTTTTTTTGTAAAAGTTTTAATAATCCTTTAGCTGATTTTGTTGAAATGTGGCAGTGTTATTTGTGGTAGAAAGGTGCTAATTTAGCCCTAATTAAACTTGCGTGCATAGAAATCGGCCCGCTGCAAACTTTTGACTAATTATATATATTTTTTAAACAATTCATTAGATTAAAACAAGAAATATACTGTTTAAAAGACAATTTAATATGCTTTAATATGAGCTGAAATTTATTACAAATTATTTGCGTTCCTTAGTTTTAACAAATGAAATTAATGCATGAAACAAATTAACTTTTTTTATTACTAAAGGAAATGTGGTCATTGACAATTATCTAAATTAACACTTAATTTTTAATAATGTGTGTGACCCCCTCTTGCCCTAATAACATCTGTCATACGATTAGGCATAGATCTTATCAAGTTCGCTATTGTTTCTTGTGGGATGTTATACCACTCTTCTTTTACTACATCAATAAGTTCAAGGATCGAGGTTGGGGCATGAAGTCTAGCTCAAATTCTTTGTTTTAACTCATCCCATAAATGTTCAATTGGATTTAGATCGGGACTGCATGTTGGCCACTCCGTAACCCAAAAACCGACTTCTGATATGTAATCATGCACGATTCTTGCGGTGTGCAGCCTCGCATCGTCATGCATAAAAATAAACTTGTCTCCAATGTAATCGATGTATGGTACCACATGAACTGCTAAAATCTCCTGGATTTACCCCCTTAAAACTCCTCTCCCATGACCACGTTTGCCCCTAGTGATGCAAGCAGGGTCGGTTCGTGCTTCCATAGAAATCACGCCCCTAATCATGCAGGAACTGCCTGCTTGTAAGCAATTCGCTCTTCAATGCAGCATTCTGCAAATCACTCTTGAATTTTTTTCGCATTAAGCAAGTAAAAATATAACTTTTTTGTCTCTTCAATTTTTAGCTTCCGTTTTGGAGAAAATAAATAAAATTCACTTTATTGCATGTCCCTGGGACAACATAATAAAAAATTAAAACTACCAAACTATCAAAAATGGGTGTAAGAACCTGTGATTTTTTTCCATATCAGTAGTCTATTTTAGTCTTAGAAATTCTTATAAAAATTAATGTTAGCTAAAAAAATGTTTGCGTTTTATTAAATGTTTTTTTTTCTGTCCATGGACATGCAATAAAGTGATTTTTATTTTCTTTTTTCTCCAAAAATGAAGCAAAATACAAAAAAAATTCAAGAGATAAAAAGTTATATTTTTAATTAGCTTAATGCGAAAAAATTATAAAAGTTTTTAAAAAATCAGTGGCGCATATTCTTTTTTGTCAAAAATATTGGTTAAGGTATCCCCGGGACACCACTGGACTTAATAATTTTAATCTAGGTAGGGCTAAATTAGCCCCTTTCTACCATAAATAACACTGCCATATTTCAACAAAATTGGCTAAAGGATTATTAAGACTTTTACGAAAAAAAAAATTGTTTTAAAGTTCGGCGTTTGTATAAACATTTCGTCTTAGAATCCCCCTTGAAGTTTGCCACATTCTTAAATAACACCCTGTATATAAAGAACTTTCTTACAAAACTCAACAAGTCCCTTAAGCTTAATTTTGAGAAAAGAAATATATTGTATGGTGAGGTAGTCAGAAGTCAGGAGGTTCCACAGCAAAAGATATTTACGTTAATTAATACAATTTTGGTGCATATACATACAATGTGGCCTAATAAGAACAGGACATCCTCTAAATTTTTTTTGGGATGCACAATGTGAATATACTTTTTTGTATATATGCTTCCAGAAGTAAGTACCAATATGATGATCCAGTTGATAAACCATGGTTTGCTGCAATTTTCTTCAGAAGTGATTTTTTTGGAAAATCACTGACTTTTTTTTAATTAAAAATCTGGCTGTGTATTCTCTGTATTCAGAATCATTGTACAGTTTTGCATATCTCAATTTAAAAAAAAATACTAGAGAATTAAATAATGCTGAATTTTAATAAAAAAATATTTATTAATTTGGGTATTTTGCAATACTTCAAAGAAAAAATAAAAAATCTCTTGAGCGAAAAAGGTTCATTCAAGAGGTTGATTCTATAGTTTGTTTTGCCTAACCACAAATATCACACTTAGAAAAATGATAATGCTTCAATTCATTTAACAGTCGTTGAAACACATTTCAGAGAATATTCTGAAAAACCTTTTTAGTACACAAGTAGAATTTAATATGGAACAGTGGACGGTCTGTTTTCTAATACTTAATACCCAGCATGATCGGGTCATTAATTCATTTGGGTTTCGTAGGACACTACCCCGATTAGCCATCACTAGTTTTGTACACAAACAAGAAAAGATCCACAAAACAAACTAATGCAAATACAGTTGATAAGCACCTCAATAGCAGTAGTGAAAATATCAAGAAAAATACAAGCATTTTTTAGACTTATTTACAAAACATTGTATCACGTGTCGAGTTTTGATTAGATGATAATGGATTTGTTGTTTTGTGTTAGTTGGTAATTAGACCTAATTTTTGTTACCTACATCAAGATCCATTGCTTAAATTTTAAACTTTCTATTTTTTATTTTAAATTAAAGTAAGTATGCGTTCCACATGTTTTAAACGCTGCTTTGGAATAAAAGTAGTGTTTAACACATGAAAATGAACTTGCCTTATCGGCCCTAAAATGTGTATTTCTGCTATATTAACTTAATAAACCTAATACAAAGCAAAATTTTGTTTGATTGGTGATAAATGGAAGAAATGACAAAAATTCCCAAAGCTAGTTACTTAAGTACTTATACAAATTTTGTTGTGGTGCTGCGATTTTATTTTCAAGCGTATCAAACTCAGTTGGGCATTTTTATTTATAAAAATGTAGGGTGTGGTATAAATAATTTCAGCAATTTTACTGAGGGTACTGAACACCCAGAGCAGTTTTACCTTTAGATAGAGTACCTACCTTTACTATAAGTTCCTAATAGCCGAATTCTATAAATAATAATAAAAAGTCAGGTTTAATTGTATTTAATATATTAATAAAATATGGAAGAAAAAACAGTAATGAGTTTTGGTAATATGCAGTGTGTCCAAGATAAGGATGGGATAACATTAGGATCTAGGAAACGGTAAACATGGCTCAAATTAGAAAAAAATTATGTTTTTTTTATACCTAATAATATGTCGTTTAGAAAGTTTTAAAATTCCGGGCAGTTCCGGAGATATCCCAAAAATCAGAAATTTTGCAAAATCGTTTTATTTTTTGTCTGGCTTTATTTGTAAACGAATTTTAAAATAAATTGCATATTTACATTGCCACTCTTTTTGCTCTATCCAATGGCGTTAACATTTTCCAATCCGACGTTTCGTCTTCGAGGGGCCATCGTCAGGTTAATTTTTTTAAATACGTCACTGCTATTTTTATGATAAAATCTAGTCATTTTTAATTCTGAATTAGATAATGTTACTATTGTAATCGCCAACGACCTCAGGTCATTCTGAGGTCTTTGGTAATCGCTTAAAAAGATTTGTTTTAGCTATCATTTAAAATTTTTCCTGAATACAGCTCTGAACACTTTTAAAATATTGGAGCCACCCCATATCTCAACAAAGAAAACCCGGAGATATGACATGTTAACTCGGAGCCCAAAGATGTACCCCGAAGACTTTGGGTCAAACCCGGAGATCTGGCAACCCTATATCCCATCCTTATCTTGGACATACTGTATATGTTGTTAAAATAGTTGAAGGCATTGAGAAAATAGCAAATTTAAATTATAATTAGATGATTCAAATAGGCTTCCTGATCTTCATGGCTAGCTCTTCATTTAAATTGTCGTTAGGTGCACTAGAGTATGTCTATGTGACATCCATATTGGGATCCACCGTCTGTGCTTTCGTTTCATCTTTGCATTGAGACATTTGTATTTTCATTAAATCGTTATCAATTATTATGTTCTTATATTTTAATTTAGTGACAGTAAAATTTGGAAATAAATACGCTAATATTATGTCATTTATATCACATTCACTTAATATCACTATTACATAGAGTAGATTCATATTTTAGGAAATTATTTTTTACAATTATAGACAATAATTTTTCCATGCCACTGAAATTCTTATGTAATTGACTACTGTAATGTTGTTCTCTACCATTTCCAGTGACTCTTCCGTATCCATTAATGGCAAAAGACTTTTAACAAGCAAACTTCTATAAATGACCACAGTTTTCAATGATGCCTTGATCTACAGGTTGGCACCATTGGTTGGTTTTTGAACGAAAATCAGTTTTATGTTTTCTAATGAAATATTTGGATGAAAAATTGCATTATCGAGAAATAAGATATCTAAAACCATTCGTTTTTTTTTGGCGACTCAATCTATTGAAAATTTTCTCACATACACTCCCTCTAAATGTCTGTGGTTCTTACTTTTACCAATAATTAACGACTTTTCCTTATTACCTCCTTCCATATTTGAAAACAATGTGGAGTCTGCAGATTTTCCTTATGGAAAAATAGACCTTTTTTATAATCATAAAAAATATCTTTTGGAGCGTAGTCCTGCAATATTTATAGCAGCTTAGTTTTAGTCGCCAGCATTGTGAAATTTTGCCTAAGCAGATTCACCATGGTTTTAAAGGAAATTTTATGCCTCTGATAAAATTTCTTCAATCAGCCACTGAAAGCGTTGAAGTTCTTTGAGTAGAGGAGAGTATGAGAAAATTTTTGTCTCGTACCTTACTCACAACTGTTTCATCAGCGACCAAACTAGTAGTTTTTGGAAATGTTTATTTTTGCTTTAAGTTTTAATTACATTATCTCAAGGACAAATAAACACTTGGCTGACTATTCCTGTGCACAACTGAGGTTTGATTCAAAGCAACCAGGATAGTTTTCATTTCATAATAACATATATATTGATTCCTATTATTACAATACTTAAAAAAATTAACAAGTGTTACATTTACCATATAAATTTGTTCTGCTTATTAGTTATGCAATAATATAATGTAGGTAATGCAATTTTGCATTATTAGCAAAACAAATAGCCGAGCTGGGTCTGCTTCTTTCTCGGCTTTTGATGACTAAGCTAAGAGCAACTTGCACTACTTTCCTTCCTTATTTAGACAATTAAGTAGAATATGGAAAAATAGAAAGGATTGAAGGGGTGCAAGTGAAGCAGGCAGTCAGAAGTAGTATCAGACGTAGATACTTGATACTCAAGGTCGTTAGTGGACTCTGGATGTGACTCTCCCTTAGATGGCCCATTAGAGTAATACTTTCTCTCACAATCTCTTATCTTTGGAGCTGAGCGTACAACCCCCCAACATGACACTATTTTAAAACTTAATCACTTGTGACTGTATTTAATTTCAAAGTCCAACATGTTAGCACTGAAATATCGCCATAAAATCCAAAAATAAACGTTGTAGTTATGTTATTGAACTGGGTGTACATGTTTTGGTGAGAAATAAGAATATCTTAGTCCGTTATTAAGATATGATAATATAAAATTAAAGCAAAAGCAAATGTGCTCATAAAAAAAAATTATGTTCTCTCTAAAGTTGTAAGCATTAAAATGTGCGTACAGAAATTTAGAAGTTCTCGTGATTAGTGAAGTTTTCATATAAATATGTTGAAGATATGTTTGCAGAGTTGTTGGAAACAAAATTAGTCATATTAACAGAGACGCCACGGTAGCGTAGTTGGTCGAGAGTGCAGTAGCAAACATTTCTCAGCCAGATTTCCTGGGTTCGATCGCTGGCATGGGCACTGGCAAAGGCGATGGATAATGGATATTTGTCCGCCATTTTTCCAAGTGTAGCCCTCTTCCGCACAGCCTTTGACATTGAATCTGGGGGTTGTCTCATTTCTATGGTGTTTTATGTTTTCATAAGACAATTTTGGCTCGATAGTTAAAATATTACAAAAAAATAACGGTAGACAAGTTTGTATAATATATTAATAATTATATGTACATACATTTTACAAAATTTAAATTACTGCTATATTCTAAAAATTAAAATAAAAAATAATGTCATAAATATATAAACAATATGATAAATATTCAATTATCGAGATACCTAAACGGTTGTATATGCGGGGTCAGTAACAATAAATATGATGATGCATAAAGTAAGACAAGTATTAGTGACTGTTTAAATACTGTTTAAATCTAAGCACTTTCTCCTTAAAGATATGGTAAAAAGTCCAAAATAAATCGTATGACATCGTCTGAAATGAAAAATGAAATGTCATGAAATCCATACTAAAACATATGCTAAGAAAAGTTTTATAAAAACCATTCAAAGGGAAGAGATTTGCAAAGTATAACCATAAAAATTCTCAAAAATCAAATAATTTTTCCACGATTGTGGAACAAATAACAAACTTTTTCGTTATTTGTAAATCCCTTCTGCCAATAAATAAAATAACTATGGACATTTTCATTTTAATTGTTTTAAACCCTGAGAATCTCTAGTGATTTATTATAACATATAGCGATCCAGTCTGGTTGTGTGGCACCCCATTGTATCTGATTGACTTCGCCCTCTGCAGCGGTGTATGCTAATATTGGATCTTCAATGGCCCTTGGCATTTGCTGGATGTCCCATATCAGTGCTTGGTGATCATCCCCGGCCGTACAAATATGACAACTCGAGTGTGGGGCCCAGGCGATGCCATTAACACAAGCTCTGTGATTATTCAGTCTTGCCACAGGCGTACAAGGCACCCTAACGTCCAAAATAATGACCTAAAATTCTTATTACTAGTATTCCATATGAAACAAAAAACCAATAAAAGTACCTCACAAGCATCCATAGCAATAGTTGCTAAGTAATTTGGATCTTGCTTGTTCCACGCTAACCTCAACAAAGGCGTATGTGCGGGATCTTCGTATATAATCGTAGAATGTTCTAAATGGCGAAGATCAAACATTCTCACTGATCCGTCAGCCCCTACAGATGCGAACATGTCTCTTCCTCCACCAGCTCTTGAAAAAGCTATATCATACACTTCTTTATCATGTGCAATGAGTTGTGTTTTAACATGTCCAGATACTAAACTTACACGATTTATAACCTAAAAAATAAAAAATAACAACTGCGAAAACTGTAATTTGGCAATATCAAACCTGCCCCGTTTCTAATCCCCAAATTGTGCAAGTTGTGTCTATCGACGAAGTGCCTACTAAATTTGGATCAACTTCATTCCAATCGAAACTTGTTAAAGGTGCACAAAAATCTGAGTTTTTATTATTGTTTAACACACATTCCAGTCTTGTATCAGGTTCACCCGCTCTCCATACTCTAAGGTAATCACCGCTAAAAGAAAAATATGATAGATACATGCAAGTTATAACTAATTATAATACCTTGTAGCAAGTAGATCAGGAAAGATTCCTTTACTATCAGGTATCCACATGATTTTTGTTGTGGGGTAAGGATGATCAAACGTGCTCTTTGCTGTAAATTCGCTACTGTCTTCGTCTAATGAAACTATTTGCACTTTGTTATTGTATTCTTCTACAAAACTACCCAAGGCCAGCCGAAACCTTTTATCTGGTCGTACAGACCAATTCATGCTATATAATGGCCATGGGGCGACGTATTTATAGATCTCTTTTCTTTTCCCAGCAGGGACTACCCCTGAGTGGGCCATTTCTACGATGGTATTTCAAATTATAATCTATATATTTTAAGCAGTCTTACTTACTTGTTAAAAAAACTAGCAATTATAAAGCAGATTTATTAAAAATAATATGAAAAGAGTTATAAAACAGTCTTTTAACTCCTAAAACACTAATGTTTACATGAATTTAGCTCAAATCCGGCTTCTGACATTATTTCAGTGGGGCCAACTAAGAATCTAAGAAATAAGAAATGTTCCTATTCGATTCAATCGAATTAATATAATCTGAAAAAATATATCTTATTGCTTATTATGATAAAAATGTTTCTATTAGTCAAACACAGAAACAGCATGTAGCAAAATGTTTTACAGTAAATTACCTTAGAATTTTCGAATCAACCGTTTTAAGACAATTTATACAATAGAAAGAGAGAGATATGGTTCATGATTATACTTTTCTATAATGTGAAACATGTAGTTAGTTTAATTCTATACTAACACAAATCGAATTCATTGTTTTTTACGGGTTTTCAAGTAGTTCAATTATTTTAAGTGTGTAAATTGTAAATATTATTTATTTTCTCATAGGTATGTTTCATTTAAATATTTAAACACACATTTATGTGATCTAAATCTTTTCTTCATGAGACTTATTAAAATTTTGTGTGTAAAGTTGTGTATTTCTTGTTTAAAAATATGACTTCAAAGTGAATAATATGTGCTCCAGAACACTATTTTTATGTCGACACTACAGCAGCCAAGCAAAATCTGTTGCTTATTACACTACTCCAATTTATTATGTAAATGCTAGTAAGTTTTCAAGTTAACCTAAAAACTTGTGTTTTATAATTCTGTTTTCTAATTTCTTGTATTTATGTTGGTAATGAATAATAATCAATAAAGTCCCCAGTATCTAGGAACTTTAATAGTTAGAAATTTACAGATCCCCATATCGGGCACCTTTATAGTTCGTTAATTGCGGATGCCTCCCAGAGATGGCACAATGTTGCTAATAAAGGCTGCATTATTAAATTTTCAACTGGAACTGATGAACACGGTTCTAAAATCCAACAAGCGGCTGAGACAAACAATTCATCACCCCCTGATTATTGCAGTAATATTTCCAAACGATATAAAGCTCTAGCTGAACGCTTTAACATAGCATGTACGGATTTTATTAGAACAACAGAAGAAACTCACAAGAACACTGTTCAAAACTTCTGGGTATGTAAACATAGGTTTTTCGTAAAGTATGTTTTAAAAACCTATATTTTAGAATGTTTTGAACAAAAATGGCCACATATATTCTTCCACTTATTCCGGATGGTATTGCGTTTCCGACGAAAGTTTTTTAACAGATTCTCAGTTGAAAGAGACCGTAGGGGCCGATGGGCGTAAGATAATGGTGTCTTCCGAAAGCGGCCATCCAGTAGAATGGACAGAAGAGCCCAATTATATGTTTAAGCTCCATTCCTTCAGAGAAGAACTCATATATTGGCTTACCAGGGACGGTAAATATCAGGATTTTAATTAAAATGACCCTTCCCGAATCCCGAGTACTAGGCGCGGGGTCCTTTGTAAATATTGGCGTTTCCACTTAAATAATCCTCCTAAGAATATAAATACTTTTACGAGGGAATTTCAAAAATTAATTCATTTTTTCTCTTACCATGTCAGAAGCTGCACTTTTTTTTGACGGGAATTGAATATGTACGGGCTGATTCAGAACTTATCAAAAAAGTTTTTTTTGAATGTACAGGAGATTTACAAACACAATTTTGTAAAAAAAAATATAAAAGGGCAGTTCGAAAATGATTATAAATACACGTCTGCACGGCACTAGAAACTGGTCCACTGTAAAACATGACCTTACGCAAGGCAAAGCATGCAGTCGGCGCCTGGCACGGCAGCAAAGTGCAATAAAAAATGAACAGACAAAAAATTGAAAGAATTTCCCAAGGAAGGAAGTAAATAAAATTTTATAACACGTATTTTATATCAGCAAATTCAACTGCTTTTGTCGCTATTGTTATTATTAATTAATAAAATAATTTGACATACAACAACTGTTCAAAATTTTGTCCACCGACGTGTAAGCACATATGGGTCCGTCATACCTAGTTTCTACGAACTAACACAAATGTTGTCTTGCTTCACCATAACACAAATATTGTCTTGCTTTACCGTAAATTAAAACGATATCCATCAACTCCCGAGTTGCTATACACGTAAACCATTTTTTACACTTGAAAAACTAATGTAAACACTATCGCAGAAACGTAAATACTAATATCGGATTTCAGTATTCGGAATCGCCTGAGGGCACGTGGAGAGAGAGCGCATTGCACACAATGCACAACGCGAATGACGCTAGAGACTACAATAGTCCAGCGATGTAAAGGTTGAAAATACTACATAAATTTTTTTCTCAGTAACTATAAGGATTTTAGAAATTTTTTTTTACATTGACATCATTTCTCAGGACGTATCCTCAATTTTTTTTGGATAAGTTGTGAATCACCCTGTATATAAACCCGTAGTTATAGATCGATAACAGTGTTTTTTTTTTTAATTCTTGAATCTCAAGTCGCTTTAAATGTAATGTTAGTAAAATCATTCTGTCGGTTTAAGCTTTACTACAGAGTCTTCATATATGATTACAAGCGTGACAAGTAATTTTGTTTAGAACAGTAATTTTATGTCATTCACGGTGTCAATTCAATTTTTGTAAAATTAAAAATTATTAAAATAATAAAATCAAGATTACAATAAAACCGGCTGTGATTGATGTAATTTTTTAATAGATTTTATTGCGACCCCAAAAATGTATAGATATTGGTTTACTTTGTTGGAAATTGATTCTCTACATTTGATCTTGAAATGACCATATCCCAAAGCTAATCGGGTCAACGGATACCGGATTCGGATTCAGTGACCCCAAAAACATGTAGATATCATGGTCTTGTCTTTCGGATCTCCCACTTTTTTGCGGGGCTGTGTTATTAGTGAATAAATGTTTAAAGTTAACTTAATTTTTTTCAATTCTTATTTTTAACTGCCTTTTCTTTTTGTAAAACGACGGTATGCCTGTGGTGTGATAGTAAGTGCGAATAGTCATACTAAAATCAACGGATGAAAACCCTAAAAAAAACTGCGAGTTAGCTATACATCTTCATGTACAGTCATTTCTAAATAGGTATGACGTTTTACTGGAAACAGTGGTTCCAAAAAGATTTTCATCCTATCAATGTGGTAAGTTAGTAGGTGTTAAAAAATATTTTATTTGCAAAATATATTTCTACTAGCCAAGTTTTCACAAATCGATTTGTTTACTCTTCAAACATCCTTTCCAAATTTGTAAATACTCTGTATAGGTTCTTTAAAACAATGCATATGTTGTTGCTCAAATTTTATATATATTTTTCGTTCGAATGTAGATATACACATGTGGAAAGCACATTGCTTCTTTATAAAATAGTCGTTGAAATGCATAAGATTAGCTTCTGCGACCTAATTAGATTTACCACCCTAATTGGTTTCTCTGCCCCAATTAGTTTCTCCGCCCTATTCCTAATCTCAAACTTGTAACCTAATTTAAATTACCGAAATAAGGCCAAGTTTTAGAATAAGTGCAAATGCACATGCAACAGTTTTATACGAATGTTATTTAAAGATGCATTTTATCATATAATGAATCTTGTAATAATTTCCGAAATTGTTAAATTGTCATTATCATGATAAATAAAATTAAAAATGCGCGTGCTGATTTCTTTAATTTACAATAATAATCGACCAAACCACTGGCAGTGACGTAGCTAAACAATGACGTATCAGATGTGAGGCTTTATTATAAGTGGCGTCGGTTGGAGATAGTTTTCTAATATCCCTCGTAAGCCACCCGTGCATGCCTTTGCTTTTCATTGGGATATCATGTAGAAATTATAAGATAAGCAATATCTAGCATATTGACCTTATCTTTCGCTTTCGTGTTATAGAGAAAATCATCCGTCCGAAAAAATTTCAGAAGATCTTATTGGACCTGATATGCAACGGCGATCTGCCGGACGTTTCAATCTCTAGGCCATCCTCTCGGGTGCACTGGGGCATTCGAGTGCCCGGCGACGATGCCCAAACCGTTTACGTCTGGTTGGACGCCCTCGTCAACTATTTAACCGTGGCTGGTTACTCGCTGGACCCCTCGGAGTTTCAAAAAGTTTGGCCGCCAGATGTGCAGGTTATCGGGAAGGATATTTTGAAGTGAGTAGTACTAGGTTTTTAATGAAAACGTGAAAAATGTTTATCGGTAGAGCGTAGAGCTTGAATTGAAGTGCTTACTTGTGTTTCTAATTTGCATTACAAACATAATTAACATGCAGCATTAATTATTAATGAATTCATATCGATAGGACTATGTGAAATGTATTTAAGAAAAATAGCAAATTTAATAATTTGAGGTACCTACACAGTGTCTTCAAAGACGATTATTTTTTAAAATAGGATGTAGAACTTCTAAAACGGGTAGTTTTAGCAAAAAACTAAGTAAATAAGGTACTCTTTATTTATGCTCTAGAATGAACACTGTTAATATTTATAATACACCAGTGGTGGTTCGTGACATTGTAAGGTCCACTGTTGTTTTGCTAGGTGGGCAATAAAGAATTTTTTATTTAATTTTCAAGGCCAATATGCACCTATTTGGTTAGTTTATTAATATGCTCTCAAATAACCATAAATTAAAAAATTAAATAAGATGAGAACTTTAAAAATTGTATTTACAATAAAATTAAGTAAAAGAAAAAAAAAAACAAAGTGATATATTTACCTAATAATTAATAAAATTCTTCCTACTTGGTTTATGAATATTTAAAAATATGAAAAAATATAAAAACAAATTTTAATAAGGCTACCTTATCTATTTACCACCTACATAAAACAACGCCACTAGCCTTTCGTGTGCCTCCACTTTTAACAAAATATTTAAAAAATATTCACTCTTTATAAAACAGGAGGATTCGTCTTTCAAATTTGCAAATGGTCAACGTATTTCTTAATAGACCGTGAGCTAGCGCACATGGGTGTGGCGTCATCGAAAAATATCTGGCATTTTGTGGTTTCAAAAAGGTAAGTTAGTTAATGAAAATAAGGGTGGTTTTAAGGGCCGATTTGGAAAATTAATTTCCTTTTGCATAAAATAATTAGTTTTTCACTTAAAGTGTCTGGCAGTTGATGAAAAAATAGACATATTAATAAGTACCTAGAAATTTTCAAATGCCAGACGGTTTTAAATAGCCGAAAGGGTGGTTCATAGGGATGAACTTGCAAGAAGAAAAAAATTCATCGTGTACTTTTTGTCTGGCAATCGTAACAATGAATATTTTTGTTATGAACATGATAAAAATAAATTACCTACCAGACGGTTTCCAATGTTCGGAGTCGAGTATCTCTGCGGAAAATTATGTGAAAATTTTTAACATTTTTCAATTAGCGTTTTTTTCGGTTCTAGTTTTTCTATTCTTTACGTTTTTTTAACAGTTGTACACGTTTACGAACACATAACGAACTTATAGACGTGGTTTTCAATTTACGGGGAGTGTCGACAAAATGCAGCCACAACATCCCATTTGTGCGAGGAATGATTTTTTAAAGAAATCATCAGGGACCGCGAATAACTGTTAAATTAGTTCGAAGGTCTCGTAATATGGCGTGTTTAAAACAACGAGGGGAATATGCGGAATAAGATGATGTAATGTCTGTATCAAGTTTGGTACAGACCAGTGCTTTTTGAAAAAAATAAAAAATAAATTAAATCTCGTTTTTTCTTGACATTAAATCTCATTTGTTCTTGACATTGAACAACTTTATAGGAACTGCTTCAATCGAAAAATTTTATATACTTTGAAAACCTTTCCCGCTTTCCTTTAAATTCGCCAAGGATGCACCATTTAGTTTTTCGCACTTACCTCCGGAACACCCTGTATAATAGCAAACAAAAATGCATTAGAGAATCACAGGAATTACATGGTCTATCAACAAAGATTACACAGCCACACAAAAAAGTCCAAACCCTCTTGGGTTCTCTTGAGCCCCTTATCATTTCCGAAGGAATTCGTTGCGCTGAACACGATCCTGTAGTCAAAATTCACGACTTCACTACATATTTTGGAGAAAAGTGAAATTTTTGGGTGAAAACACCCAAATATGGGTCAAAAGTGATTTTTTCCTAAATTTTGTAAAAAATATATCATTTTCGTAGTATGTATTTTCATCCAAATAATGGATTGTCTGAGAAATATCGAGGTTATGGGTAAATTTTACTAATGGCATTGTGTTCAGCGCCTCAAAATACTACGAAAATGATATACAGGGTCGGAAAGTCCCCATGGTTCATCGGCCGTTATGTGAGAGCGGTAAAGAAAGTCATAGAAATCCGTACGATAGAGAAAGATGGCTACAATGAAGGGGTCTAATAGTCACCGCCCATTTCGCCCTTCCACAAATAAGATCTACTTCTCATTTGTGGAAGGGCGAAATGGGCGGTGACTATTAAGCGCCTTCATTATAGCCATCTTTCTCTATCACAAATTTAGGAAAAAATCAGTTTTAACCCGTATTTAGGCGTTTTCACCCAAAAATTTCACTTTTCTCCGAAATTCATCGGCATGTTATGAATTTTGTCAGCGAATTCCTTCAGAAATGATATGTGGCTCTCTTGGGTTTGGACATTTTTTCTGTGACTGTGTTATCGTTTCTTTTCCTTTTTTGTAGATTCAATAAAAACATGAAAATAGTCTTGATTTGCTTGCATCTCGCTTACATTTCGAGATACAAAGAACATCACTCGGAAATGAATTAGTAAAAAAGCTGTTCTAATCGACGTCTTACGCAAAATCCAATATAATTTTCGCAATCTACGCTCTTGAATGGGTGTAGCACAATTTTCAGCTATTCCTAAGAACACTTGCTAAATTCAATAAAAACAAATCCCCATAGAGATCGACGAAGTTAAGCACGATTCTGGATTCTTAAGTGATCACGTGCACAATATATTTCACATCCGACAGGAACTATATTACATTTTTTTATACTTTTTTTTAAAGTCCTCATTTTTCCGCCTCTTCCTCGTGACGTTCTATGCGAGGCGCGTTTTGCCCTCCACTAGGATCGGCTCTGTATTTACTTTTATATATTTTGATTCATTTTAATCTTCTTTCCGCCTCGATCTTTCATCATTTCACGATGACGGAAAGGGCTCCTTATGAGTCGATATAATTTTACAAAAACACGCTTTTCTCTCGTTTAACTAATGTTAACTGTCACACCGGAAGTTAATGGACTCCCCATTCTTAAAAGCCTGTCAATCCGGGGGCGTTCCAAATCACTCGGAAGCGATAAAACGGTTCGGGGATAATATAACATACATTGAAGGGTCTGGGATATAAATCATACAGCGATACGCTTTAGGCGTGATGTTCCAGTCTCTAATTTATTTATGTGGAACGTTTGCCTTGCACCCACGATTTGAATAGGGCCGCGTACAATGTTTTGTAATACGGTCGTCTCCCGTTTCGTTCAAGATTGCTTAAAATATTTAACACTTATTGTAGTCCAAGAGAATTAAGCTCAAAACCTTCGAGATATGGCTGTTGCTTGACGTAGATTAGATATTAGTAAAAATCGGTCGAAAATAATGTAAACAATGAAAATATAAGGTTGCGCCAAGAAAAAAAAGTTGTGCTATTTGCAGAAAAAATAAAAAAATGCAAAAATACTCAAAAATCACGTGTTTTTTCTCACATTTTCCAATATAACTTCTTAAATATGCAGTTTACAGAAAAAACTATTACTAATGAAATTGTTTGTTATGAAATTTGCTATAAGACAAAATTGTTTTGATACCTGCGCATTTCATATTTTTGTTGTTAGACAGCCAAAACAGCGTGAGAAAGTTATGAAAGTCGAGGTAATTTTGAAGCGTTCAACTGATAGGTAAAAAATTGTCCAATTCTACTATAAATGTAGATGTAAGTACTTTAAAGGATTACAAAACGAAATCCCAAAACCCGATCCAAATCGGTCTGATAGTTTTGGTATGAGACAATTTCTTACTAAATTTCAGCGCGAAATGTCGTTATTTTTTAGCGTCAGTGCTGTGGTTAAAGCATTTTAATTGGCGCTGATTTTTTTACACGTACTTGGACCCTTTAACTGTCATATAGAATTGTTATAATATTAATTTTCTTTTTTTAAATAATTTTTGGAGCGATTTTAAAAATTCGAAAAATTTTAACTTT